ACCCTGAGCAGGACATGCTGCACTGGGACGACGACCCTCCTGCTACCACAAATACTGCAGCACCGTTCTCTGGCTCTGTATCCTTTCCTGGCTCTGGACCACCATCTTCTAAGCCTCAAGAAAAGGGGTTGCGCAAAGCCGTGCGGAATTGGAAATGGCCATGGAAGAAGGACGAGAAGCCATTGGAAGGGGAACGGATAATCGCTCTCAACAACCCTGCTGCCAACTCTCACTTCTGCTCGAACTATGTATCGACGAGCAAATACAACGCCGTCACGTTCGTTCCGAAATTCCTATTCGGTATGTATATCACCTCTCTCAGGAGGATTGCTCGACCGCTGTTACAGAACTATACGCGTTCCCTCACCCTTGCTTTGCTGTCGGTTCAATTGCGACCATACGAAGGCGGGGTGTTCGGCGTTGGGAATTGATTTCCCGTCCTCCATAGCCACCGCACCGGCAAACCCTGTATGATCGCAAAACCACCTCGTTCTGTTTCAGCGCCGATGTCCTCTTACTTCCGGCACAAGCATTCTAACGTATTTTTCAGAGCAATTTTCCAAGTATGCGAATCTGTTCTTCTTGTTCACCGCTTGTATCCAGCAAATTCCGGAGGTCTCGCCGACCAATCGATATACCACAATTGTCCCTCTATCCGTTGTATTATTGGCTTCAGCTCTCAAGGAGACCCAGGAGGATCTGGTGCGTATCTGCGCGCATATACCCTGCGATCTATATTCACTATTTGCTATACGGGCAGAAACGGCATCAATCAGACTCGGAGTTGAACTCGAGGACAGCCAAGGTGTTATCGCCGAATGGTACCTTCGAAGACAGAAAGTGGAAAAACATCCAGGTTGGCGATGTCGTGCGACTGGAAAGCGACGAGTTCATCCCAGCGGACCTCATTTTACTGAGTTCCAGTGAACCAGAAGGATTCTGCTACATTGAGACCTCGAATCTCGATGGAGAGACTAACCTGAAGATCAAACAGGCATCCCCACAAACCTCGAATCTTACCTCACCGCACCTGGTGCAGGGACTCCGCGGCACTCTTCGGTCAGAGCATCCCAACAACTCGCTGTATACGTACGAGGGTACTCTGGACTTGACAACAGACATGGGTATGCCTAAGCAGGTACCTCTGGGACCCGATCAGATGCTTCTGCGAGGAGCTCAGATACGGAACACGCCTTGGGCATACGGTTTGGTCGTCTTCACTGGTCCGGAAACCAAGCTTATGCGCAATGCGACGTCAGTCTGCCTTCCATTCTTACAAGACGGCCAGTTCAACTAATATCCTGATCTCTCATCCGTATTCAGAGCAGCGCCGATCAAGCGAACTGCGGTCGAACGTCAAGTCAATACCCAGATTGTGTTTTTGTTTGGCATTCTGCTAGCTTTGTCAATCGGTTCGACTATCGGGAGCAGTATTCGATCAGTCAGTACCCTGTTGGCATGCTTCCAGAAGCTCTACATGCTAACGAATAACGCAGTGGTTCTTCTCAAGTCAACAATGGTATTTGTTCGAGACGCCATCAGTTGGTGATAGAGGTCAGAAGGCATGCTCTATTTATGTATGTGGTACTGACTAACCTGCATATAGCCAAGGGTTTCATCGAAGGTAGACTCGCAATCATACTCACAGTTATTGTCATGTCTAATCGCAACTGAATCATGGTGATACAGACATCCTGACCTTCATTATTTTGTATAACAACTTGATTCCGATCTCTCTCATCGTAACGATGGAAGTCGTCAAACTACAACAGGCACAGCTCATCAACTTTGACCTCGACATGTACTACGCCAAGACGGACACGCCGGCCTTATGTAGAACATCTTCCCTCGTCGAAGAGCTGGGACAAATCGAATATGTGTTCAGTGACAAAACAGGTACATTGACCTGTAACGAAATGGAGTTCCGATGTTGTAGCATTGCTGGCGTAGCATACGCTGACGTTGTCGACGAAAGCAAACGAGGTGAAGGCGAGGACGGCAAGGACGGGTGGAGGACGTTCGCAGAAATGAAGGCCATCTTGGAAGGCACTAACAATCCCTTCGTTGATGTCGAATCTCCCGGTGGACAAAATGCGCAAAAACACACTATCCATGAGTTTCTTACTCTACTCGCCGTCTGTCACACCGTTATCCCTGAAGAGCGCGACGGGAAGATGCACTACCAGGCCAGTAGTCCAGATGAGGCCGCCCTTGTGGCGGGTGCCGAACTCCTTGGCTATCAGTTCTATGTAAGTGTATCTGCGTTTTCACCTCGTAAGGCTTCCTGAACATCATTGTTTCTCGTAGATGCGGAAGCCGAAATCCGTGTTTGTCAACATTTTCGGTACATCCATCGAGTACGAGATCCTGAACGTCTGCGAATTTAACTCCACACGTAAACGGATGTCAACGGTGGTCCGTGGTCCTGATGGTCGGATCAAGTTGTTCTGCAAGGGTGCCGATACGGTCATTCTTGAGCGACTAAGCGAGAATCAGCCATACACCGAAAAGACCTTGGTACATTTAGAGGTAATCAAATATGCTCCATTGTGTACTGTAATAAGCTAACCCGTTCTTAGGAATATGCTACCGAAGGCTTGAGAACACTTTGCATTGCATATCGAGACATTCCTGAGGCAGAATATCGCGAATGGACCAAGATTTACGATCAAGCGGCAGCTACAATCAATGGTCGAGGCGAGGCATTGGACAAGGCCGCAGAAATCATCGAGAAGGACATGTTCCTGCTTGGCGCTACCGCTATCGAGGACAAACTGCAGGATGGTGTCCCAGACACGATCCACACATTGCAGATGGCAGGCATTAAGGTTTGGGTTCTCACGGGTGATAGGCAGGAAACTGCTATCAACATCGGAATGTCGTGCAAGCTCATCTCAGAGTCCATGAATTTGGTATATTTAGATCCATATCCTGCCAACGGACTGTTCTGATGACCCCTCGTTGTAGGTCATTGTCAATGAGGAGACTGCACTTGGGACCCAAGAGTTCATCACGAAACGTCTGAATGCGATTAAGAACCAGCGGAGTACGGGCGAACTCGAGGACCTCGCCCTCATTATTGGTGTGTGGATTTGCATATATACAACGTAACTCCTTACATATTGCTACTGTTTCGCAGACGGCAAGAGTTTGACGTATGCCTTGGAAAAAGAGATTTCGAAGACCTTCCTCGAATTGGCCATCATGTGCAAGGCTGTGATCTGTTGTCGTGTATCTCCGCTGCAGAAGGCTCTTGTCGTCAAGCTCGTCAAGAAGAATCAGAAGTCCATTCTTCTTGCGATCGGCGATGGGGCTAACGACGTTAGCATGATTCAAGCCGCTCATGTTGGCGTGGGTATCTCTGGTGTTGAGGTCAGTATCAAAGCTCATTTTAGGCGGCCGCGTGTCTATAACATTGACTTAACAGGGTTTACAAGCTGCCCGGTCTGCCGATGTTGCCATCTCTCAATTCCGGTTCTTGAAGAAGCTCTTACTGGTTCACGGAGCATGGAGTTACCAGCGGCTCTCTAAGCTGATTCTTTGTACGTGTTACTGTCGTTTATTCGGTTCCGTTATTTACATCGCGTCCCTAGACTCCTTCTACAAGAATATCGTACTCTATATGACGCAGTTCTGGGTACGTCTTTTGGCAACTTCCTTCGTAGCTTATCACTGAACGCGTCACATCGAACAGTACTCCTTTTTCAACAACTTCTCCGGTCAAATCGCCTACGAGTCATGGACTCTTTCTCTATACAACGTTGTATTCACGGTGCTCCCACCGCTGGTCATCGGTGTTTTCGATCAATTCGTATCGGCAAGAATATTGGACAGGTACCCTCAACTATACATGCTTGGCCAAAAGAACGTCTTCTTTACAAAGACGGCATTCTGGATGTGGATCGTCAATGCACTCTACCACAGTCTCGTGCGTTACTTGCCCGTTTCGATCGGAGACTTGGTGCACTCACATTCACGATGCAGATCTTGTTCGCTTTCTCGGTTGTACTGTTCTGGGGCGACTTGAAGCAAGCTTCTGGTTTGGACTCTGGTCATTGGTTCTGGGGCACAACGCTCTATCTTGCTGTCCTATTGACGGTGCTTGGAAAAGCCGCTTTGATCTCCGAGTAAGTTCTTCCCTAATCGTAAAGGGGACGGCATCTAACAGACCGCCTAGCTTGTGGACAAAATATACTGTCGCTGGTATGTGATTCGTTCCTATGTCGTTCTGCAAGATACATGCTAATATTGGTTTGGATCAGCTATTCCTGGCTCGTTCGTTTTCACCATGCTATTCCTCCCGTTATATTGTGTTGTCGCCCCTGCAATAGGTTTCTCAACCGAATACAGTGGCATTGTCCCTCGTCTGTGGACAAATGCTGTATTCTACTTTGTTCTTATCCTCGTCCCAATAGTCTGCCTTTCTCGTGATCTCGCATGGAAATAGTGCGTATTGGAATCCAACTAACCGTCTCGACAACTCGCTGATCTTTCCTCTAGCTATCGACGGACATACCGACCAGAAACATATCACATTGCACAAGAAATTCAGAAATACAACATTCCTGACTATCGGCCGCGGCAAGAACAGTAAGTGCGCTCGGTTGCTAAGGGATATACATACCTACTTTTCCCGAATAGGTTTCAAAAGGCCATCAAAAAGGTCAGAGCTGTTCAGCGGATGCGTAGAAACCGAGGTTTCGCGTTCAGCCAGACTGAGAATGCCGCGCGTCAAGACCAAGCACGTCTTATCAGGGCATACGATACTTCAAAGACAGGTGCACGACCGTCGGGGTACTAGTCGTAGCTTTGCGTTTCATATTTGGTTGCCTATCTTATGCGGACAATGTACTGTACTCTACTTGAGCGTCGGCTGATAGAACGTCATAATTGGAGTCTTCCCATCCTGCGTGACGCGTGACATCACGAGTGTGAATGAACTGTGTGACATTGTGACAATATCCGCGTGATTAGCCCGAAAAGGAAGGTAAAAAAAGAAAAGGTGCTACCAGGGTTCGAACCTGGGTTTCGGGAAGCCACCAAATTTCCTCCTAAGGCAATTTCAAAATCCCGAGTGATAACCACTACACTATAGCACCTTGATGAATAGGGGTAAATAAAGCAATATGATAAAAGCGCATGACGCAAAAACTCTAAGAAATCAAGTCACGTGCCATTACGAGAGAAATAACTAACATTGTTGGCTCACCTCATTTATGACTGCAGTTGTCCCTAGACTCTAGCATAGCATATAGTATGTTGAACATATGCCGTATATGGAAATGGGTTTCAGGTTGAAACGAGGCTATGTTTATCTTTTATCTTCATCTTATCTATGATTTTATCATTGATTGATAAGGACTTGTGCGTACTGCTTATACAATCCACACTGCTTCAGATGAT